AAGCGAGAAATCACTCCCCCCAGGGAGGATCGCCACACCACAATCCCTTCTCCTCCATTCTCCTATTGGGATCTTGGGCACACACGCACACGGGCTCAGTGTGAGTTTAAGTCACCAGGTTCGGGACTCAAACCACGGTCAACTACATGGAAGTCCAGCGACATAGCCATTACGCCAACTGCTGGTCCCCACCATCAGTTTTTTTTAAAAAAATTAAAACACTCGGGAACCAGCAGTTAGTGTAATGGCTATCTCGCTGGACTCCCACGTAGTCGACCGCGGTTCGCGTCCTGGACCCGGTGGCTTAAAACTCATGCCGGGCGCGTGTGCATGCATGCCCAAGATCCTGAGAGGAGAATGAAGGAGAAAGGATTGTGGCGTGGCCAGCCCCCCTGGGGGGTGATTTCTTGCTTTCTGTCTCTCTGTCTGTCTCTGTCTGTCTGGCAAGCGCACGCACCCTATAGCAAAAACCTCTAAAAAAAAAAATTAAAACACTCAATACATTGGAAAAGTTACTTAGATAACATGATTTTTAAAAAATCAAACCCCGGGCCACCAGGTGGTGTGGAGGTCAAGGTGTGGATCCCACATGGCCAGCTCTGTGGTATGTCTCAGACCTCGTGGCTTGAGAATCACACTGGTGCGTGTGCATGCGTGCCCAAATGCCTAGAGGAAAATGGAAAAGAAGGGACTGTGGCAGGGCCATGCCTCTGGGGGATGCTCTCTCTCTCTCTCTCTTTCTCTCTCGTGAGCATATATGTCTATAACCAAAACCGAAAAATAAACACATAAAATAAAAACCCAAGTCCTAGTTTTCACTGTACATCAAGCCATTCGTAGTTTTTGAATCTCATCATACCACCAGCTGTGGTTTGAATGCCCCCACCAAAACTTGTACTGTGACTTGACATTCAACACAGCAGGGTTGGGAGGTGGAAGCCTAGTGGGAAATGTCTGGAAAGTGGAGGGTACATCTCTCATGAATAGATTAAGGCCTGCTCCAGGAGGGAAAAGTTCTCTTTCTTGAACTTTATACCAGAATTGTTAACCACACAAATCTCTTTTCTGCTTTAAATAGCCTTTTTGATTGCCAGAGGGTGTGTGTGCTCACTGAAGAGGATGGGTATGGGGAATAGAAATACCTGCTGTAGCAGCGGTGTCAAGCCATAGTCATTTCCCGTTTCTCTATCCCAACAGGACTTTAAGCACACATGCACATGCACCTACTGTGCTTTTCAAGCCACTGGGTTTCAAAATGTGATCAGCCATGTGGGGTCCAGCTCCATAGGCACAGGCTTAACCTCAGTGCCATGGGACTGGCCCAAATCTCTTTTCTTAATAAATCACCCAGTCTCAGAAGTATTCTCCTATGGCAACGCAAATGGACCAACATATACATCTTATGTTACTGATGTATAAATAACTTATTATATGTAACTAATATATACTAACTACAGTAATACATTAACTTTTAAAAGTTATATAAAGTTAAAATGAGTAACAGCCACAAGAAATCTACCTGATGTTAGGCAGTTGTGTTTTATTATATCTGAAGCAGCACACGGGTGGTCTTCAAAAGGTTCATAGAAAGCACGTATTATGAAAACACTATGCACAGATTTAAGAATTTTCTCACATCAAAATAAACTCACACTTTCCTATATTTGACATTAGCCAAAAGGCCAACAAGGGATGAAACTCACTTTGTTTTTCCACAAACTTTTTGAAGTCCTCGCATACTCAATTACCACAAAGTAAAGTATCCCCATTTTATTGAAGAAGCAACTAAAGATAAGGGAAGTTGAGAAACTTACATCATGTTACACAAGTAAAAAAGGACAGAGCTAAGGGTTAAAATAAGTCCTAGATCTCACTCTTCGTTCAAAGGTTATTTTCTTCAGAGCTCTATTCTAGGTGCTCTTCTAACTCTACTGCCTCTAGAGGTACTTGAAGTACCTCCAAGTTTTAATGGTGGCCCACATGTTGACAACTCTTAAACCCATTATTTCTGGCACAGACATCTCCTCAGCCACTTCTGACAATAGATACTTGGTTGTTCCAAAGATAAACTCGATATTCTAAAACTCAGTTTTCTAAAACTTGCTC